TTGAGTTCAATCATTTGTACGGCCCTCGAAGGATGTTGTAAAAATTGAAATGGCCCTTGAGAGGAAAAAGGTTCCCCACCCCTGATATGAAGGATACATATTTGGATAGATTAACAGGCATATCTCTGCTCTTTTGATATTAATCCTCCTGTTGTTGATGTGTTTCAGGACTCTCTGCATTCCCCTGATGGCCACACTAAGTGCTTCCAACCCCTTTTTTGTACGCTGCATCAAACCAAACATGGACAAGGTAGGTCATGCAAATTTCAATGCACCAAAAAAAGAGCCAGAAACCCTGCCAGCTTTTGTCAAGGTCAGCGCCTGCAAAGTTAAACCTTCTTGGTGCTATTCATAGCTCCCATCGCTCAGAGCTAATCTTTAGTCATGTAATTGTTTCACTTGAGAAATAGTTTTGCTGCAGATTCTCTCCTGCCTTGGTGCAAATACTCTTATTGCACTTCTTTCAAGGTCTCCTATCATGCAAAATGTACTTTTTGATGTCTTTCATACATAAATATGTGTCCACGGTGTGTAAGGGAACTCACAAAGTCTCAGAAAACAAAACCCTCTCTCTTTTCCTCGTACCCAAATCTCTAAAAACGGGGGTACAACGGAGCTGATTCCAGATTTGCTGCCGATACCACGTAATATCAGAAATGTGGGCTGGTTTTACACCCACGGCCCTATCAGAAACGTTGCTATCAGAAACAATCTGCGACGTGTTTTGGAAGTAATATGGTCTTTGTTTACATTAGCAAGCATCGCTACCACTCAGAGCTAACCTGTACTGGAGAGAGTATGTGCAGGATATAAAAAAAGGAACTCCCCGTGTGGTAAAACCGTAAGAGAAAAAACATTTGAGCTTTGAGTTTCAGAAATAATCCTTGATGTGGTTTTTAACACAATATGGGGTTTAATCACGGCAGCATTTAGAAGAGTATCTGCCGGTAGAATTCTCCTGCACGAGCAGGTATAAGGTCCCCAACTTTTTTCATTTTTTTCTCAATTTTTTGTCATTGACATGTTTTTTATATATCTGAGACTTATATATGCCTAAAAATAGTATAATAGGAGACCTTTAAATAAAAGGGCTGTGTACCAGCACGTTCTTATCACTTTATCCCTTTGCCCAGAAGTCACTGCTGGCCGCTCCAGCTACACAGCTTGGCTGATGCTCGGCTGATCTGGCTGCGTCAGAGGAATGCCAAGATAAGACCACTGTGCTGTTTCTGTGGTGCAGCCAGGGGGACGTTTATTACCTAGGCCTCTACCCCTCCACTACTCTCAACTGCAAACCCTTTCACAATCTGCACTGTTATCCAATTGTCTGATATTAGATCGTTAGCATTTGTTATTTTATGTATCTTGAGGAAAGTGAATTGGCTGCTCAGTAATCCAGCTGCATTAGCTCATGTTATTGTTTGGTATTAATTTACACACAGCAGGGATTGTCCTCTCCTTACCTCCAACCCCCTGTGCGTCATTCCACACCTTCTTGCTCACTTATTAGCATGGAAACTGTCTCCCTCTCTCCCCCGTCCCCTGCTCCCACTGCCTTGAATTTGCTCACCTGGCCTCGGTCGCTCAAGATGGAACAAGCCGTGCCTCCATTAATCCTTCAGAATGACAGGACCGCATGCATGCAAACACTCACACGCATACAATGTGTTTGTGTGATTAACATGCACCCACTCCACTTGGAAAACATTTCTCTGTGGGAAGGGTCAGCTTGTTTTCCCTCAAACAAGTCAACATGCCATACCCCTTTCAGCCGGCTAAATCTTCTGCTAAAGAGTAGAGTTCAGATCTCGGAGGGGTGCACAATTATGTGTGTGTGTGTGTGTGTTTCATTATGAACACATGCAAGCATGCTTTTGTAAACCAGTGTGTCTGTTTCCATGCATAGTAGCATTAGCCTGCAATTAGATTGACACATTTGGGGAATGCTGTCTTCCTGTGTGGGGCTTATCCTTCGTGTGTGTGTGTGCCCTCTGGGTGACAGTGGCCTTCGTGCTGCGTGCAAACAGGCAGGCTGCATAGAGGTGTAGGGCGGCAGACATCATAGATCCTTTATCATCAGTAACACAGAGTTGTGAACAATGCAGTAGATTATTCCAGAAAGGCCTACCCAGTTGGCCTTGCTCAACACTGTTCAGGTTTCTCTCTGGTGGCGTGTGTTTTCCCTGCAGTAACCTGATTGTTAATGTAAAATGATAGCACTCCCCATTGTAATTTACTTTTATGTTCAAGTTTAATGTGACTCAGCAGTAAGAGGATTGAATAGCTTTATGGGCTCAACACTGGAGGATTATATTCAGCTGTCTAGTATCTTCCACTCAAAGATAATCACCTAAACTTCTATTGTGCTGAATCAGGCCTGTATGCACGCAGCTCTCCAATACAAAGCTGAACATAACTTAACCTAGTTATAAAAAGACTGTCAATAATGTCATTATAATTTCAGAAGAATAAATGGCTTTCAAGTGTTTATATATTTTTGATTTTGTTTTGTTGTTTTCATCTACAGAAGGCCAACCGGTTTGATCCTGATGTGGTCCTGAACCAGCTGAGATACTCTGGGATGCTGGAAACTGTGAAGATCCGCAGGGCTGGATTCCCTGTCCGGAGAACTTTTAAGGATTTCGATAGCAGGTCAGAAAAATATGAATTAAAAATGCTGGTAACACTTTATATTAAGGTACACAAATTAACCATCAACTAGTTGTTAATTAACATGCATATTAGCAGTATATTGGCTCTTTAATAGTCATTATAAAACACTTATTAATGCCTTATTCTGCATGACCATATTCTACAAGTAATAAGCCATTAGTTGAGAGTCTTTCCTCAATAACCCTCTAATTAGTGCTTATGTATTGCAAGTAAGGAAGTTGTTGAGTTTTGGTCTTAATATGCTCTGCTCAATATGGGCCTAATAAGGCAGTAGTACCACAAGAATAGTAATTCTACCATAATAACACTTAACAAATTGTGTATAAATAATTCAAAATGTGTTATTTATATCTAAGAATATGTTTTGGGTAGGGCCGGGACTCGATTAAAAAAATTAATCTAATTAATTACAGGCTTTGTAATTAATTAATCGCAATTAATCGCATTTTTAATCGCATATAAATATTTGACCTGAGAACAGTGAAAAGCAATTTTTTTCACATGGATTTTAGTATACCATTGAATAATGACTGAATACATAAGCTTAAGCAACAAAACATTGTTTATTTTTTTCAAGGAGGTTCTTAACCAAGACCAACAGAAAAGTGCAATTTTTGCCATAAAGTGTAGCAATAGCATATTTAGGAATATAGTACATTTCAGAGATTCAGGTAGCCTATAGGTAGGTAGACCTTCTGTAAACTATAACACTTTGTTTTTTGAATCTCTGAAATGTACTATATTCCTAAATATGCTATTGCTACACTTTANACTTACTAACACTACTTTCGGATCCTCGCCCATTTCAGACTCTTCCACTTAGCTGTTGAATGGAGATGCAAGTGAGGAAGGCACTCCAGGTCGGGTGTGTATACGAGGTAGTTTCCTACCACATGTCGGCGTTCCGTAATGGAATATTGTTGTTATTCGTACAAGTACAATAAAGATTTATGTTCCGAGCCACTAGGTGATCGTTGGGGTTACGCGGGGGCCCACCCGTTGGTGACAGATCCTTAGTTGCGTTGAATAAGTACAAGGGACTCCTGAGGCCCGTAAGTGAGGCAATACTTACCAGGATTCTCTTTGCCTGATAGCTTGAGAGTCGGTCCCTCACCGCCGGGAGGTTCGTAGTCTGCTCCGTGTGGACAAAGGTGAGTAGAGAAGTGGCGACACTGTATTTTCGGCCAAGAGTAAGGGCGGTCTCTTAAGGCGCACAAAACTGGGAAAGGACACACAGAAGCCGACGAAAGGAGCGGGACACTAGAGCAGCGGACCAAACAGAGGACCAGGAAGACAGAGGCCACAGTTCGGTCGCAGGACAGAGGTGAGGTAATGGACACGGAGAAATTTTATTTGCAACAAAACTGTGAAAGAAGATTCAGAAACGAAAACCCCAGGTTATAGAGATCCCGCATTGTGGTCCGAAGTCGAGACTTTCGGAACTCGTATCGTCAATCTTTAGTGGAACTAGACGTTAATTCACACATTACAACCCACGAATTACGTTTATCGCATCGCTTCGGTCCTCGACTAACCCCTCCTACGGATTGTGGAGTGGGAATAGTCGGAAGAGTACATTCGTCATCTCTAAAGGAGAGTAAACGTGACTACCGTCTTACGAGGTAAAGTCCCAGGCGGGGTATGCAGTAGTTACGCAGACGGTGCGTATCTCTGTCTTTTTCCTTCTTGTTCAATGCAGACTGTTACCTGTTTATGATTGCCCCTATAACCCGGATTGTTGACATAAACATATGATTTAATGTTCGTTGTTTAGAGTTATTCTAAGGCTTTACCCATTGGGAACTCGGTATGAGATAGAGCACACTGTTGAGATGTCCAATCTGCCTGTTTTACACACTTTTGACCAAGGGGGTTTTGTGTTCAAATGAAGCCCATGATGAAGCCTCATGAGATGAACCCTTTTGCGAACCAATTGGCTGGAAAGCTTCAAAGCTTCATCGGGCTTCCTCTCCCCATCACTAGTTGTACTGTCTCAGTGTGAACATAGATTAAACAGCCAGCCAAACTCTTTTGAGAGCCAGGGAATGAGCAGCCATGCTCCTTTATTGATTTATTTGCAGTCCACTGACATTCAAACAGAGTGAAGCTATACAAAAAGAAGTTACAAAGCACTTAATGATCTCATACATGCAAGTGTAACATACACATATTAACACATAGGACCACTAAGTGTAAACAAGGTAAATATAGCTAATGCTAGCTGTGCAATAAGCATGTGTACAGGCCATGTTTGTATAATAAGAACGGTGCAGGCTAGTATGGCTAACGCCAGCATGTATGCTAACGCTACCGTGTATGCTAACGCTAGCGTGAATGCTAATGCAATTGCTAGCGCGAATGCTAACGCATTTTCTCATTGTGTGTAAACCGTTTAAACTTCTCAAAATGTCATCACATAAACACAATACATGTTACTAATCCTTACAGTGTAAGTGTAAGGCTTACACTTACACACAGTCATTG